GTTAATGCGAGGTGGCGGGGTGGCCGTCGGGACGGCGATGGGTGGTGGAGGGACCAGGAGCGGGTTGCTGGAGCCGGGTTGGTCGCCACGGGGACAATACGGCTGTTGAGCATTTCTCGCGAGTCGTTTTCGGGTGCTGTCAGCAGTGCCTCTCTCCGTGTTGGGTGTTTTGGAGGGGTGGCACATCGAATCTCATAACAGGGTGGGCAAAGGTTCCTGTTGAAATAGGTTTAATTTCTGCCCCCTCAAAATAGGATGTCTATTTTATTAATTGCATTTGCAAACACAAATACCTTTCTGGATCTGTATTTTTGGGACCAGCTCGTTGGGGATGCAGCCATCCCTGCATCCCTGGGGTGGGCGAGGACCATTCCGAGCATCACGGTTACGGCGGCTGCCAAATTCAGGGTCCTACGCAACCACAAACGGTGGCTCCCGGTGCTCGGTGTGGGGCTGGGGCTGAGATTGGGGGGTCATAGTAGAGGGTACAGGAGTCTCCCTGCCGGGGAGGAGGTTGTCATTAAAGATGCTGCTCTGGCAGGACCCTATTTCCCACCTGGGAGATCTTCCCGGCAGGAAGATGCTGAACATCCCAACCAACAGGTTTGGGCATTTTGGGGGGTTAAAGGTGAGCGAGGTGAAGGATAAGAGGAGGTTAATGCTGTCAAATGTGGGTTTATTTTTAGCTGTCCCAACAGCCATTAAAAAAAAACCCTCATCACCTGGCCCCTTGGGACCACGGGGATGGATTTCTCCCCCCTGAGCATGGCTGTGACTCCGGCTGAGGTGTCGGTGGCTCCATCTCGGGGTACACCCAGGTGAAAGAATGGGCTTGCTCCGGGGTTGCTCACAGAAATGTCAGAGAAAGGGTGTTTTTTATAGGTATATGTTCACTGTTCCATCAGACTGGGATAAAATTGGACAGCTTTCAGCTTTTTTTTCAGCTCTGCTGCGAGATGCTTTTGGGAAGCCGTGGCAGCACCTCATCCTACATCCCCACTGCAGGAGGAGGATGCTTCGGGGGGAGGAAGGCTCATCTGCATGAGAGGGGTGCGTGGGATGGTATAAGGAACCACGCTGGGGAAAAGCTGGGATAAAACGTGCCCCGGAGACTCTCCCCGGATGGGGCTGAGGGTGTTTCGGAGCTGACACCAAAAATAATAATAAATCCCCATAGCACGTTTGCTTCAAAGCAATTGTTTTGCGGTCTTATTCGTGTGGGTTTTGCTGAATCTGGGCTGACACGCAGCTTTTGGGGCAGGAGTCGATCGCTTCTCCTACCCTCCTGCCCATCCAAAGTCTTTGGCGATAGAAATATCCCTTCCAGGTGGCTTTAGATGTGGAGGTGACCTCTGCTCTGACCTGACGGCACCGAGATGCTGCCTGGGCAGGACATCATGCAGTGATGCCTGAGGGCAGGCAATCCCCAAAACCGGTGCCCAAATCATCCTGGGGGGAAGCCAAGAAAGGCTGGAGCCACACTCCGGGATAGCTTCAGGCTGTCAAAATTAGCCCAAAGCCCATCCACCCGTGGCTCATTCCAGCGTCACGCTCCCCCTCCGCCCCCGATGATGCCACGGTCCAGAGACTTGTCCTTGCCGCGGCTTTTCTTGGCATCTCAGTGCGTTTGGAGGCAGCCCTGATTTTCAAGCTTCCTTCCACGCTGTTGCAAAAAGGCACCACGGGGCAGAGCCGTCCTGGGAAATAATTGGGCATCCGGCATATAAAATTAGCAACGAGGCGGGGGGGGGGAAAAAATTATTTGGAATAACTGTGGTTTTCTTGCTTGCCCGTCGGTTTCCAGCTCGGTCTTTGTGCGTGCTGCCGATCGCCAGCGCTGGGATTTAGCGTCCCGGCTGCGAAGGTGTGATGGGATGTGCTCACGTCAGTGCACGGGGACGGCGTGTGGTGGGTCAGGCTGTGACTACAGCGCTGGTAGAAGTAGTTAGCGGGGGAGAAGAAGCTTATTGCAAGCCAGCCTGGGCTCCTCGCGGGCATTTAGGACCTTGCAGAGAGTTTTTTTTTCAGCACATGGAATCATAGATGGGGTTAGTGCTGCCTGGCCCCAGCATGGCTGGGGGATCCGAGGCCACCAGTTCTGGCAAAACCTCCTATTTTTTTCTTTTTCCTGCTATATCCAGTGCCTGCATTTCCATGGGTACGCAGCGCAGCAAACCTCCGGCAGCCTGCGTGGCCTCAAACAGGAGCTGGGAGCCTTCCTGCAGGGAGTTCGGGGTGTCGTCCCTCTCCCCGGGGTCACCCCTCCGCAGCGGAGCCGTGGGGTGAGACCTGCCGGTGTTTCCCAACCCGCCGCGGGGGAAAATCCTCCGCCGTCCTGCGAGTCACCCGAATCCGGCTGACTTTGCGCTGGACAGGATGAGGAGTTGTGACTGTGGGAGCAGGAGGGAGGTGGGCTCGGGTGGGTTGGAGATGGCTTTTTCTGGCCGAAGAATCCAGCCACGCCAGAGCGGGGGCTTTCTTTTTTAGGGGGCTGCAGCTGAGACTGTTCTTACACCGGGTGATGTGGTCCCTACCTAGGGATGCTGATGCTTTTTTTTTGTGCTCTCCCGCAGGACAGTGAGGTGACCACCACGTGTCGGCTGCTGCTGCATCGCTCGAGACACCCACCAGCACCACCAACGCCGACAACAGGTAGGTCCCATAAAACAGCTAATAACCCTTAGTGGGGCTAATTGACCCCGGTGGGACTCGACCCACGCTAACACCTCTCAGCCAAGACATCGCTCCTCCAGGGCTT